TGAAAGAGATCGGTTGCATTTAATATAAATAAGTATGTGAACATATACAATAACCTACCATAGGCAAATAAACAAAAAATGTAGCTAACTGTTTTTTGTGGTTAATTTATATCTTATTTTATCAGTTAACATTTATCTGTATTATGCATATTTTAATATCTCCAGTTTTAAACAATCTATTTTGGTTACTGTCCTATATTATACATTGGGAATGATTCAAACCTGTTTTTATTATATTCCTAATAATTATAAAGAGTGCATGGAATATTTGTTTACAATAAATTGGATCCAAAAACATTTGAAGACCACTGAGATAACTTAGGAATGAAGTGAACGTATCTAACTCAGGAAGTTCCTTTACCTCACTGAGATTCTCAGTCTTGAAGGGAGATTCCCGGTCTCCCTCCACATTTATTGTAGAAACAGCTTCTTATATTCCGGTTAGCGCAGCAGAAGGCTAACAACATTTTCCCCGCCTGGTACCCTGGTGCACCCCTCATTCTATCCTATCTATCTATCTATCTATCTATCTATCTATCATATACATATGTATCTTATTCTACGTATCTTCTAATCTCTCTCTCTTTCTTCCCGCTGGCTGGTGAGCTGGGGCGCCTGATAAGCCAACATCCCCACTTCATCACTTACAGCACCATCGTACTGGGCAAATGGAAAATTGTAACCGGCGGGTGAAAAGGGTGTTACATTGGACTTAATTGATGAATGTTGTTACATCCAAGCTGAAAATTCATTTTTTTGGTATTATATTTGTATTTTAATCCTTTGTGGAAAGTGCAGATTCCCCTGTCCCACCAGGGAGGTGCTGCAGACCCTCAGCACCCCTACTTCCCACGGGCCCTGGTAGTAGGCTACAAGTAGTAATGTATTTTAGTGATAAATTTATATTAAACAAATGTGTTAATTTTCTTCATTTATAGTCCGGACAATTTTACTATGCGGTGATTTACTTGCGGGCACCGCTGATGGGCCGGCGGGTACGGAATTGGGGCCGGTCGAGAGGGTCCCGGGCTGATTGTAAGTCCCCAGTCCGGCGCTGGCTTTAAGCCACCCCACTGTGTGTTTGCTCCTTACATTTCTATAAGCCTCTGCAAGGTGAGGTTCAGGGCTGGCACTGGCACTGACTTTTCAGTTTACAATATTATAATTGGTTTTTGACCTAATCAAAATATAATATTATTTTCAAAAGCCTTTTTGTCTGGATGCTTCGATTAATTTAAACAGGACAGTTTCAACAAAAAGATAACCCAAAAGTGTAATTTAATTTTTATCATTTAGAAATATTGAATTGTTCTCTCTTAGTAAGATCCCATTTTCAATAAAATTGCGGTCTTACCTTGACTTGAAGATGAAGTCCATTTGCCTATCCTTCTGGACAAAAATCTCTATTACTTTTTTGTAAAAGTCCTCCTTATATTCTTGTAGTTTCAAAAGTTTATCATAAATCTAATCGATAGATGTATGATTAGAAAATTATAAAAGTAGGGTAGACATGTGGATATTATCCGGCTGAACAAAACGTGCATTTATCTAACAGGTATTTTCCCACAGATCTTATTTTGAGCTATTTTCTCAAATCCTATGGAGAAATCTCATTGCTTTTTTGTGGAGGGAACGAGGGAGCCCATGCGCAGCTTACTTCCTGGTTTTAGGACGCGTCTCTCGTCTGCTCTTCACACACCACGCTTTTCGCGGCACACGTACTTACAGCCAATCAGCTCTGAATTATGTGAGATGACGTATGGTAGGGATGGCAGCCCTAGTGGTCATTATTTTTTTGCCACACACATTAAATAGGACAATACTCTGAGCATGCGCCGTGTAGTTTTTACAGTCACCGTTCACTTACACAGTGAGAGGGTGGGGCATGATCGGGTTTTGTCCCACATGGCTCGAAACAGCTCAAATAGGCACATACTGTAGACACTAATTAGAAGAACACAGACTAAAACAGCAATGTACAGACGAATCAGATGATTAAACATGATCTTAAAATATATTTTATATATAGGCTATATTTATTTATTTATTGCATTTTTTTGTAATCTCTTTTCCTCCCCCCCTCTCCTGACAGCCCGTCAGTATCCGTGGTCTCATGCAGCTGGCTGATCCAGTAACTAATGAGTGACCCGACAGTAAAAATAAAACATATTTATAACTCAGTTTAGAGGTAGTTGAGGAGGTAATATAGCTAAATGGTGATGGATCTAACTTGAAGTGTGTGTTTTGTTCCGCTCATCGCTCCATCACAGCGGGCGGAGCTGCAGGTTATCATGCAGAGCTGCGTGTCTCCTCTCCTGTCCGATTAGACTTCACTCGCGTTTATGTCCATAATATTTAGTTAAAAAAAAATTATCCACCGATTTACAGACGTCTCTTTCATTGGGAAAAAGTTGTTTTGGGCCGGGTGACGTCATGGACTGATACGCAAGTTGCAGTACCGCCGTTTGGACACATGTTGGGCAGAGTCCGGCGCACTTCCTGGGGGCTCGGATGAGTGAGTGGGTGTGTGTGTGTGAGAGTGCTCTACCTCATTCAGTGCGACGTTTTATTAAAGTTGTAAGATGGCGACGGTGCATCTGAGGATCGGGGACCTAGTGTGGTAAATAACCTTTAAACATTTCAAACGCCGCTGGCTCTACTAAATGACCTTGCTTTGCATAACGTAGTGTGTTATGTAGTTGTTCATGTTTTTTTGTTCGTGTTAACCAGATGCAGGTAATGGACGTGTTTGCGTACTGGGCTAGTTGATGGTCAACCTAAACAAATTCCTAGCAAAGCTGACTCAGCCAGCAGCCGTCGTTAGCAGATAGCTAGCAGATAAGCTACAGAAAAGGTTAAGACTTAAACGAAATGTAGTTATTTCAGATACTAACCAGTCGTTTAACATTTTAAAGTATTATACCGACACGTTGATATGTTCGGCTTCGCCAAACGCTCTTTAATGTACTAGTCTGTGTCGAGCTGAGCTAGCACTGTAGCATAAGCGACGCCAGCTAGCTGTTACTGTATACACTACTCTTCCTGTTAGCTGCTGCTACATGTTCTCCGCAGACAGCTGGCGTTTATCTATATTGATTTACAAGTTTTCATTGGACTCTGAATTCGGATCAATTTAAATCCAGATAGATAAGTTTCTCGTGTCAGTCTCATGTTGTACCAGTTTGTGTTCTTGTTGTGGCGTTATCAGCAGGATACAATACACACTCAAAGAAAATGGGGTGCGTTGCCTCGTACATTAGCAACACTGATTACCATGTATTATTGCCACTGGTGTACTTAAGTACACTTACTCAAGTATTGTACTTAAGTACGATTTTGGGGTACTTTTTCTTCACTAGTGACTCCACATAATCAGATTATAAACGTAAACGAAATATAAATGCACTTAATAAACAAATATAAATAATCATAGGTAAAATATCCAGCAGCAGTATACAAAGTCATAAAAACTAGCTGCACCTTTACCAGCTTTGATAACACTTTAATTGCATCAATAATAATTATAATCCAATTATCTACTATATAAACTTCTAAAATGGGTTACTTTATCTTTGGTACTTAAAGTATATTTTGACGCCAATACTGTTTACTTTACTTAAGATGTTAAATGCAGCAGGACTTTTACTTGAAACTGAGTATTTTTTACACTGTAGTATTACTACTTTTCTTAAGTAAAATATCTTGGTATTTGTAACTTTCAGTAATGTTCACAACAACAGCAAGTCAAGCAGGAGTGTTTGTTCCTCTTGTTACGTCTTGCTTAAAGCTGCTCCGAAATCTTGCTTTTAAAGGAGCCGTCTTAATTGAATCACATCGCTACTGGTAAATAGCATCCACTTTAATATATGACTACTTTGTAAGTTTGAGGTACAGGAGTTACCTTACCCGAGTTGCTCACTGAAACACTGAAAAAGCATGCAGTGTGTCAAGAGAAATATTTCTACAACTTATGAGGACAAACTTAAAGAGACCTGACAGCCTCAACTAAATAAAACATAATTCAGCTCACCAAATTAGATATCATTGCACTTCCATTATACTATTAAAGTTTTTCTAATTTGTCAATTCTCAATGTCCTTGTATCCTAATATAGTTGACCTGTTTTGCAGTGCTGCAGTTTTTATGCATTGTGGGAAGCAAAAAAAACAAACAATTAAAACACCACATCACATGTAAATTACAACATACATGCTGATAAATATGTTTGTTCACATGCATACGCATAACATCTTGACCTTTTATGTTAAAATGTTTTTTTTAAAGTGAATACCCTGTCATCTTTAGTCACAAGGTTGGACCTACGCCAGCGTCAGAACCACTGGTCATAGAGCATGTTGTACTGGGTCTGTATACTATAAAAGAAGGAGGACACAGGTCTAAATATTTAACTCTTCTTTCAGGGGGAAGCTTGGTCGATACCCACCATGGCCAGGGAAGGTAAGGACATGCCAATGGCTGCTTCAAGGAAGAATACATCTGTATATTTGTAAATCAAATGTTAAGCTAATGACTTTTATTTATTTTAGGTCGTAAGCCCTCCCAAGGACCTGAAGAAGCCCAGGGGCAAAAAATGTCATTTTGTGAAATTCTTTGGAACTGAGGACCAGTAAGTATGCTTTGTTGGGTGCCTCTTCAGACGGATTTGGCATTTCCTTCTCCATCGTATATTTGAGCTGATTTTCTGTGTGCCTGCCCAGTGCCTGGATCAAAGTAGAACAGCTGAAGCCCTACCACCCCCACAAAGAGGAGATGATCAAGATAAATAAAGGGAAGCGCTTCCAGCAGGCGGTTGATGCAGTGGAAGACTTCCTGAAGAAAGCCAAGGGGAAGGATCAGGTGAGGGGGTGTCCTGCCACGCATCATTCAGTCATGGAGTTGTACCTAGCATGTTTAGATAGTTTGTGTTTTTCCATCTTCAGCCAAAAAAACAACACGTCCCCTATAGAAAGCATTTTGGGCGAAGGGGGTGTGTAAAGATAAAAGACTTCTAGGTAATGATTAACAGAAGGTGAAGCGTGTCAAAAATATAACCCTTAGACCACAACATATTTGTTGGGAGACACTGAATATGAGACACCATCAAATATGGCTTTTCATGAAATTCACCGATTTCTTTGCTCGACAATTGACTAAAACGTATTGGTTGAGGAGCTGATCGTTGGCTGTCAGTCGAATGTCAGATCTTAGATTATTATACTGTAAATTAGCCATACATGGTGTAGTGCTTGTCATATATTGTGAAGAAAATGCTTTAGCTAATATCTTTAGTTTTTTTATCTAACTGCTACTTGAACACACTTATTCGATCTATTGTGGCAAAGGTTCTTAACAATTACACATGTTACATCAATGTTGCTGATTTCATGGTAACTGGGTATAAAAGACAACAAATGCTTTACTCAGATTGTTGTACTCTGTTCTATTTAAAGGCAGATGCAAGCATTAGTTGTGATATTGCCCAGCCCTCAACCAACACCAACACAGATGTGGGACATGCTCCTTTCAAGCTTTGAAAGTCATGATGTTAAATGAAGGGAGAATTTCCTTCATGAAATACTCTGAAGTGTCACACTCAGCCTTGTGAAATGTTTAGTCAGTAGGACCCAAGGTCTCTCTTTAGGCTATCTGCCCACCCGAATAAGTGCAGTTAACTTATCAGTTATCCCTTTGCTCAGTGTACATGTCATCTGCTTCTTTTAGAACCGCCCTACATTCAAAAGGTTGTCGGACTACTGAGAAGTGTCCTGGGACGCCAAAATAGCAGCACAAAATGATTATCTGTGTTTTAACAGAACTCAGACAGCAAAGCAGAGACGAAAGGAAAGAAGACACACAACAAGCCCCTGAAAATACTTGAGGAGGATGATGAGGACCTCAGCGCCCTGAAGGACCCCTCTGAGAAGGTTAGTAAGACACAGACGAGTTGAGCGTTTTTCCTGTCAGGCCGCATCAACGTTTTGCATTGAAACTTGCTCCTTTGTTTATCTGTAGGAATTGTCAACTTGAGAATGAGATCTGTGGTTTGTGATTGTGTCCACCTTCAAAACCAGCCATTCACTGACATAGCTATTGGATCATATTCACTCCAGTCACAAACGATAATGTAGTCCAACACCATGGTACCTTATTAGACATTAAATTCAGTGTATCTTCCTTAACTTCTGTCAGGTTTTATTACGTATTAGTTCTTCATTCATAATGTGTGGTATATACATGTTGTATAATCCAGTTGGTTTCTGAGTAATATCCTCAAAGTGAGGTGTATTCAGTGTCTCTGGTTCTAAACCACCCTAATTTTTAAGTTCCTTAAACATCTTCTCTTCATAAAGCTGGATTTTTCATATCCATGTTGGGACACTTTCAGAGGAAATGTCAAGAAGCAGAGGCCTTGGAGCTTATGTTGTCACAACATCTCATGTCTGATATCCATTCGCCTAAATTACACTGAACAAATGTTCTCACCTACCTCTAGCGGTATCTATCTATGCACATCACTTTGGTTTTGTCTATTCAGGTATTAAAATGCCTGCCTATTTTGGCGTCAATCCTAATAACAGTGGAGGTGAATGGAAATGTTTTATATTTGGACATCAACACTGTCTCCTTGTTTAAATGACAGAAAAAGCTCCCAAACTACGTCAGACATGAACCTCTAAAGATTCCCCCTCTGGTTTAGAAGGTGAAAATGTGTCTCTCTCCTCCTTAAGGACTTAACTGACTCTGACCCCGAGCCGTCCACTCATGAGAGGCTGGGGGCTGGACCCGGTTCAGGATACAAATGGGAAAGGAGTGTAGGTGAACCCTCCCCCTCCCAACAAGCCTGCCCTTGCTGTTCTTCCTCCTGACTTTAAGCTTTGGCTTTTATCTCCTGCAGACCTTTTCTTCTGACCTTTGTGCTGCTCACTCTTGACTCCTGAACCTGTGCGTTGTTTGTTTGTTTGGCGTGTGCTGTTGAGATAGTCACCAACTCTGCATGAGGCGGCTCAAAAAGAAGGATGATGTTTGATTCAGTTCGACCACAAATGTTTGACCTGCTCTGTGACAATTTCTGGTAGTAATGAAACTGTAGATAACTGTCTATCATTTTCAGTGGAAACATTTTCACAAATATCAAAAAATTGCAACTTAGCGGCTGCAGGCGTTAGTCCAAAATAGGCATGTAGTAAAATGTCCAAAAAGTGAACTGTATTTCTGTTAGTCGTCCCTGTTTTGTAATGTTTTGAAATGAAGTCAGTGTGGGTTAGTACTAGACACTCAACAGCCTTCTTTCTGCTCTGGTGATTTGTAAACACACTTTGCTCACTTCCTTATTACACTTTTCATTCTCTGCATTTTTCTCTGCAATACTGCAACATGTTTAATCTAAGCCTGTTGGAAATCATATTTTATTGTTTTCAAACCCAAACAACAGCAAATATTTCTTAGTGCACACCAAACTGAAGCTGTGAGGGCTGACTCGACACTGTCTACACTTACATGGACAGATTGTGGCAGTGACTGGCTTTATGGGTGGAGCTTGGCTCACAGATATAATATAGTTTCAGAAGTCATACAGATGAACTGCAAAATAAATGTAAACGTTATGTTTTCATTACCTTTATAATTGATTTCTACTTCCTGGTTGGGGAATAGTAGTTGATGCTCAGTGTAGATCCGTAAAGTAATGACCTCCTGACATCACTTACATTAAAAATAAAACCCATGCATTTTTGTGAGAACTATTTAATCGGCACATCTCTAGTTCTCTTAAATGGCAAATTATGTTCTTGTAGTTTGGATTGGCTTGAATATATATATATATTCTAAAATGTACAGTGTTCTCATTATTTATGGAGTTTTTTGTTGTAAAATCTAAAAGGTGAATTTTTAAATGTTTCTGGGAATTTAGGAATATTCAGGAAATGTAGGTATCTCAGCATTAACACTTAAGGGCAAAATGGTTTAAAAAGCTATTTGTTAATAGAAATAACCTTGGTAATTTTAGTCGGCATGGTGTGATGTAGACTAAAATCTTTCTATACTCATGCAAAGAGAACATTTTCACAGTGAAATCTTATTCTGTTGCAGCCTGTGAAAGATGATCCACATTTCCATCACTTCCTCCTCAGCCAGTCTGAGAAGGTAAGAGGAAGCATGCTAAATATTTTCACATCTACACCTCGTTTTTTCTTTTATCCAGGTCTGGTTATCGGTAGTAGTTTCATATAGCAGTTTGGTTATGAAGTGTGATCTTGTTAAAAAAAAGGATCTGGGAATCTGTAGTATTGTGAATCTGATTTGGTCAATATAGATAAAGACCTTCACTTCTCTTTTGACACACCCAAGCTGAAAAGTGTTCCTCGAACTTGACAAAGGCAGCATAACCAGATCTATTCCTCCTTTTACATTTCACAAACAATACCACGGAAAAAACACTGAGCAAATGTTATCCACACAAATAAACTCGGCAATAGAGTGGTGCAGTGACAAGTCCTAAAACCCTGAAGTGAGTTAGCATTTGACCACTACCGGTTCCCTCGTCTCCGAGTCAATAGGCGCTTTCACACCGGAGTACTTTTCCTAGAAATAGTTCCTGGGATGTTTGCGCTCACACCAAACATTTATTTTTTTCTCCCCAGGAAAAGTCCCCGCTCTCTAGCAGGGACCTTCCTGGGGAGAAAAGGGTTCCAATTTCTGATTGGCTGGGCAAATTGCAAACCACGCGTCGTTAAAAAAAAAAAAAAAAAAGTTTCTCTATCCGAAACGCCTTGTTGGAGCTCCTGCGCCAAAAAGTGCATTTATCAAACGGGTTCGTTTTCCACAGACCTTATTTCGAGCTATTTTCCTAAATCCTATGGAGAAATCCTATTGACTCTGAGACGAGGGATGTGGTAAAATGCTGACTCACTTCCGGGTTGTAGCAGAGATGGAGTACTCGAGTCCTGGACTCGGACTCGAGTGCCGATTTTCGTGACTCGACTCGGTCTCGCGCACTGATTGACGCGACTCGGACTTGGACTCGTGAATTCTCGCGCACGATGACTTGGACTCGTGAATTCTCGCGTACGCTGACTTGGACTCGTGAATTTTTTCCCCCACGATGACTCGGACTCGACTTGTACATTGACGCTCCGACTTGGACTCGGACTTGAGCAAGTTTTCTCTGGAGTCTGATGTCCTCTATCCTGGCATGTGCACCTGTGAGGCGAGTTCACGGACTGGGCCCCGCTATTTCAGTCTAGAGACACACCCCGCATTGTGCTGTATGCTTTCACACATTCTGCTTCCACATTGGAAAAGAGCAGCGCAAAATGCTCGTTATGTGAAAACAATATTGACGAGAAGGCTCCGTAACACATTACTCTAAGGATCGAGTTCAGACATACTGTATAGGCTGTCTTGAACACTATCATCAGAGTAACGTTATCTAATCAATAAATAAAGATTCTGCTAATAACAAGAAAGCACATGGCTACTTAACATGCAGAATGACGTCATTTTGCATGCTAAGTAGCCATGTGCTTTCTGGGGGAAAATCTTTATCAGTAAACCGATTTAACCGGTAAAAGTTCCTTCAAAATAAGAGTCCCGATCTTATTACTATCAAAATAAAAGTGCAAAACGAAAACCTTACCATAGGAAAATATTGGCATACAAATATAATCACTTCTCTAAAAGTTAACTCACTTTAAATATAGTTTATTCATATATAATAATAATAATAACAATATCAATATTAGTAATAAGCTTTATATTTGTATAGCACCTATTACAAGAATTGTAGCCAAACTCGCTTCACAGCAGTTCAATAGACAGATTAGTAACATGACCGGATGAAAGCAATGCAGAGGAGCAGCTACATTTCAACGCATATATCCACGAAGATTAATACATGAAGACT